GGCTCCTGACTTTTTTTGCTGCCTGTCTAATGCTACTCTTGGCTCCTTTTGACTTCTGTCTTTCAGCCACGCGCCTGATTTTTCAGGGCAGGTAAGGTCTAACACCTAGCCTTCTTGGATCAGGGCGAAAAATATTTCGGTGGTCCTGTGTGCAAGTTGCGCGCGTTATAGATCCGTTGGAGGTCGTAAAATCGATTAGAGTTGGCTTCGGCCGCCACACGGGCAACATTTCAAAATTGACAACTACCAAATTGAAAATCTGTAATGTGTGCCGCGCACTCATATGACCTTATGCAGCTGCGAGCGACGTAAACATTAATTACCAAAACCAATAACCAAGTGAGCTCTTGTTGGGAGTTGAAAGTTTACTGCTGCTGTGATTAAGTTCTGTCGAAATTATTTAATGCCGCCAAACATTGCATAAAATGATTATAAATTATATTATATCCAGATTCAAAACACAATTGCTTGAAAATGAACTTGAAGTTTTGCTGAAATCTCGTTATCCAGCACAACTGTTGAACCCTCCACGCATGACAATGTTTAAGGCATCGTGGTGAAATCCGGCGCTCTTTAAAATAATACAATCCAAGAGATCGGCATTTTTTGGCCAGTTTTGGATATTTATTTTGGGGGGATTTTTTTCTGGCTCAACACCGTGTATGTCCATTCAAAAACACTTGGGTTGATTTTATGGAAAAGCGTTGATTAAAGACAGAAAGAAATACGTAAATTTGCACTTTCCAAGGACTGTTAAGCTATGGAAGTCACCAAACTTTAGCGGCCATTTTGTAACAAATTTTACTTCCAAAACAAACCAGGCGACACCGGCCTCCTTCAATCGCTTTTTCAATATCTTGACTTCTTTTTCATGATAAATGAATATTTTTTTTCAGCAAAAAGCAAGGCAAATGAAACACCTACTTTAAGATGATCCCGATAACTCCATATGCCCAAAGGTTGACGAGAGCCTGATTCTACTGCGTCGTGATAATAATTAAGGAGTGGTTGCGTCGAGCCCAGCGGGTTGGTGAACCTTGCCATCTTCCTCCACTTGATCACTTTATAAATAATGGTTTTACTTGATGAGATGAGGGACAAAGAAATGTTCACCTACACAAAGTATATTACCCCATTAGCCGGCCATCGAAACATCATAAAACGATCTAGATCATAATATTAAACATGTGCATTTGAAGCAAAGACAACCCAGAGATAACGAGGTGAGTCCAAAGCAAAGTAAAGGGATGTGTGCTTTATCTTACCCTCGCTAACTTATTATTAGCGAGGTTCAACGGAGCAGCGCTTGAGACGGAGAACCTTGCTAAACAAATTAAATTATTTTTTCGCTAAATCAGATTGTGCAATAATGCGCTCAGATAAAACATACTTCACTGCAGGATTTTGTCTGAGGCCCATCACAATTATATTGATAAAATTTGCTAACGTAATTCTCAACATTAAAAAGGTTAGACAGTTGTGTGTTTCCTCTGTAAAATCTTAAAACTTCGAGTTAACGAGGTTCTAACAGAGCACCGAGGATAATTTTAACATTCCGATTATATTCGATCTCGTATTTGAACTGGTTTAATAATTGCTGTTATTTATCTTGCTAAACCCAATTTTAAGTGAAAGGTCATTGTGGTGTGTCGTTGTGCAAGTCAATATATCTCGTGTTGTTTTCCGTCGCAGTAGATTAGTTGTATATATATAT